CGAGACAACAGCGCCATCATCAGATTTAAAATTTACACAAGCTCATACTTGGTAAATATTAACGTTCTTTTAGGTCTTTGCCTTCTTGAAACCGTAAATTTGTCTCTTGAAAAGACAATTTACCAATTATGAGTTTGTGTAAATTTTAAATCTGATGATGGCGCTGTTGTCTCGCCGAAACGTTATATGGAATAAACGATGTGAACAGTTTTATTTCCCATTTTGAATGAACCGCAGGAAAGAAAAAATATAATAACAATTACAGGCAGTCAGGAAAATAAACCAAAAAGCTAATAATGTTTTTGGTCAATGAGGCAGTCAACTCAAAATTGAGGGCACTGAGAGGAGGACTTAATTAAATTGGAATTAATCGACGCCCGCAAATGTGCCCCATTGAACCCTTATGAACACTGGCTGACTAAATAATATTTTTCCTAATTAACAATATTGGGTTAACCTCAGTTTAATTGCCCTGGTTTCAGTAAGTGCTTTAACCTCCCCTTAATTGGTTTAAATGCGAACATTTTCGTTCTTCTCAAACAACTGTACGTTTTATCTTTGGCATTCAAAGCGTTTCAATTCTTGCAAGGCCTTTAGTGTTCGATTATTTTTTTCCTGCAGCTTCAGCTTCTAACTGGGCGATTTCCTGCCGGGTCTAAATATAGCGCCCCTGATTTGATTTTATAATCTTTTCCATTCGTCAGTCATTGCAGAAGTGAATTATTAAAATCTGGGGTATTTATGGATGAATTCCAAGTGCTCTCCATTAATTACGGTTTAATTACTATCTGCAGAATAATACGCCGATGTCGCCTCCTACGCTGGAAAATTTCCAGCACGAATTAGTTCCTGCTATTTTCAGTGTCATTTCTAATCGCTCAGTGACAATGCGAACAAAGATCTGAAAATTCTGTCGGATTATTTTATCGACTTTCTCAACGCAGTTGCTAACTATGGACCGAACAGAATATAGAAAATGTTTTAACTTGGCAAATGTTCCATGAAGAGTGGAAAGGAAAATCTCATATCTGCTGAGTGAGTGGGAATAGAGGAAATTTCCAATCATGTAGGCGGACTCCTAAGATTCCATACGCTAGAAGCTGGGCGCCTTTTGAACCTTGACCAATCCCAATGGGTGTAACCACTCATATCCGGGCATTAGGGAAAATGTAATAAATACATTAGGTCTGAGGCTAATGGGTTTTTCGGGTTTTTGGGCCGTCGTTCGGTAGAATTTCTTCTGGACGTTTCGCAAGCACGAGTGGCTTGCATCTTCAGAAGTGGTTTGCGTGAACGCTTACGCTGCGTTCGCAGAGCGCGTCTTTGGCTGGAAACTTTTATTTTTCGACTCGCGCTTAAACAGCAGCAAAAAATCAACACTCGGTGCAATTTCAATGAAAATTTCTCAGTTTTAGGATGCAAACGTTCACTACCGCAGTGAAAAGGTTCAAGTGCGCACTTGCCCCAGTTTAGAAACTACGATTTTTTGAGGGAGAGCGCGTCTTTGGCTGGAAACTTTTATTTTTCGACTCGCCCTTAAACAGCAGCAAAAAATCAACGTTAAGTGCAATTTCAAT